TTATTGAAATTCTTTTTTAAAAAANTATTTTTCCAATAATCTTAGTTATGTTTTATGGATGAATAGCAGAATAATGCAACGGAATTTGGTGATGATATTAATTTAATGATATAGGAAATATCCTTTTGTATTTGTCATCTCCTACCTCATATATGATTATACCATGATCATATTAGTTTATTGGAATTGTTGTCCTAAAAATAATTCAATAGTAGTTAAACTTTTGGAAAATGAACAACCTTTGCGGTTGGCCGAAAGGAAATCGATAGAAAGCAACTCGATTAGTTTTCAAGGGGACAACAGGATGGGTGTTGGGGTCACCCGGTTTTGCATCTGTTCTACAACAGACACTCTCTCTCTCTCTCTCTCTCTCTCTCTCTCTCTCTATGGTGATATATGAGGGGGGACAAAGAAGGTGAGAGGTTGGAGTAGCGAGTAAAAAGTTGGGACCAATTCAGACAGGAATAGTAAGAGTGAAACCCTTTTCGGGAGACGATGTAGTACTATTACTGCTCACATGTATAAGCCTAAAGCCCCAAGAATGATATGCAATGTCACTTGAAGAAGATTTTTGAGACAATTTAATCCAATTTAACAGTGCAATTCTTTCTAATATATGATCTCCTATTTAGGTGGGAATCACAATTATTCTAGAAAAATTTCTAGTACAATTTGGTCCCACTAATGTTAGACTGAAACAATACTGATTTTTGGAAAGGTGAGGTGAGGATCCTCCTCCTAATGTTCTTTCTGTATGACGGCTCTTTAATTAATTAATTATATATATATATCATAAAAAAAGCATTTATCGTTCATCGACGATAATATTTAGCACGATTAAATCATTCATAATGTTTTATTCGGCACGCGAGAGATCCTACAACGTCTGTTGAGGTGATTCAATCAACCTAAAAAGTGGTATAATATTTATGAAATGGAAATGTTATTGGAGAAATTTCCAACTTCAATCCTAGTGTTGATGTGGCTAAATATAAACCCAAATCCAATTGAAGTACATATTTTCTTATCCAAATTAAAGCATCCAAATCGGATGCATAGATTGAGAAAAAAGATCCAACCCGCTATCATCCCCATACACCATCGACTTGTGAGATGACAGAGCATGGATTGAGATTGGCACAATAGAGATCTTCTTTTGGTAACACAAACCATTAAATAAGGAACATGAAAGAATGCAGTTTCACATTAATTTGCATGCGCCTCCCAAGTGTAGTTAGCCAGAATGTAGTCGACACAACACACAACATACAACCATCAATCAAGAAGGCAAAACAGGGCTTACCATCATCCAGATATGGTGCTTTCAGATATCTGAAACTGAGGAAAAAGAAGCAATTGGAAAAGCCAAGAACACAGTTAACTCATATATTCTTTGTCAAGTTCCAAAAGTCATTCATATTTCACAATTCATATTCACAACACTACTAATCTGTAGATTTATGTGGTCTAAGCAACAAAAAATTTTAAGCAATAGAATCTTCGATACCGATTGGTCTTTTAGCCGTAGCACTTAACCTTTGTAAGTTAAAACAATTCTAAATTCCAAGATCTAATCAGATTCATGGAGACAAAACAAGTCTCTCCTGCAACATCAAGCATTATTCCAAATAACATTCGGATTAATCTTATAATGAAAATACCATGCCAAGCAAAACAGAGATAAGCCCCTCATTTCAATTAAGTAAAATTTTTGAAGCTATAGGTGTTTATCTGTTCTAAATAAACCAAAGGAGGGGCATCTGTTTCATAAATAAAAGTCTGTGTTACAAAACTGTGTCAATTATGATCCGATCTTCCCTGCTTTCTCCCAAATGGCCTAATGACTGCTTTCGATTGTGGTTTTGCCTCTGCTCCTTCGTCGTTCTCGACTTTATCATTTCTGGGTGTAATTTTCAAAGGATGGGCTTCAGTGTTGAAAACCCACTCATCGAATGAGATGACTGACGGTGGTGAGAACAAAAGGTAGAGGTACTTGAGTGTTTCTGCAAGGAAGAAGCTCTGCATCATGTTGTCCTTCACACCCGTGTTGACCTGGAAACAGAATGGCAGAACATAAGTCCAGATGATTAAGGAGATGCAGAAAGGGTGGTTTTATTCATCTCAAACGATATTTGAACTTATAGAGCGGTCACTGAGGTAGTCCACCATGAAGTTAGATAATTCTGGTAAAGAGGAGTTCATGTATCAAAAGCATGAACAGAAGTACCAGAATAGAGCTATCTTCAAAATACGTATGAAGGGAAAAACAAAACCATCATCAACCCTGTCAAGCTACCATATACAAGTGAAAAGAATCAAACAGAGCCTGAAAGCAGTCCGACAAAGCCTGAGAGCATGAATTGAATTTCTGGTGACACCAAAAGTGTCAGCTGGCTGTCAGAATGTTCCATTTGATACTGTTCAGCATGTTGCAATACCAGCAAAACAAAACCCCCTAAATAAGTAAAAAATAAATCTTTGTGGAAAAAACAAAAGGGACAAAGAAGATGAAAAACCTGATAATATGTTCAACAGACATTCCAAAATTTTGCTTAACCCATAAATCATCCTGTAATAAACCTAAAGATATTTCACTAAGTCATCCCATATTGAAAGAAATTTGATGATGAATTTGTTCAATCCTAACCAAACTGAAGAATCTAACCTACAAATCGTTTCTGACTCTGCTTCCTGCAAAACTCATTTTATTCGACTGGATACCTAAGCAAAGGTCTTGCAGCTGCATCACATGTATATGGTAATTTGCTCTAATAGCAGTCCACCTAAGGGAATAATGCAGCTGTAGCAGTAAGAGCTACAGCACAAACATGGAAAATGATCCAGTGAAGCCAAAAAGAAGGCAGTCAAAAGAAGGTTAAGACAGATACCTAGCAGTCTTCTAACTGGAAACATAGAATGATAAAGACAGGAAGGAAAACTCTGCGATACAAAACAGTGTATATTCTAAAAGAAACAAAAACCTACTCCCCAAGGTTGGCATTTTAACCCACTTAATCCTGTGGTCCAGAAAGCAGCCCCTGATTTACATCTCTCCCAAGCTTCTCTCTCAGTTTAGCAGAGCCAATGCAGAGAGCAGCAATGACAACATGGCTCTTCTTACTCTCTTTCTTCCTCTCCTGTTCTCTTTTTCATTCTCCTCTAACCAAGAAGAAGGCTAATGGCAGCAGGCACGGATATGAACTGATGAGGGATGGAGCGCCTGGATGTGTTTTTTTTCCAGGTAACATTGGTGTCAATGTATATCAGTAGAAGGCCCTACTGAAGTGATTCTGGACCTATACCATCTTTCCTTTTTGTCTTACCTCTTCTTTAAGATATTGTTATTCAGAAATATTTGTACAATCTCTAGCAATTCAGATAACAACTACATTCCTTTCTAGTTGCAAACCAGAAAATTCCTAGGTCTACAGTTACATGGCTGTGATACTATATTGATTTGACCTTAACTTGCGCAAGCTTTCATAAGAAACCCAACTTCAATCAGCTACCACAACAAATGAAGTAAGTATTTGTCAATTTTCATACTTCAGCGAGCTCCAAGGTCGATGGGAACTCATTTACCTTCCTTATCCCAAATCAATATATGGGTGCATTTTATCAAGTAATGCATGATAAATTTCTGAAAAATAACCACTGAGTAATTCTTCCACATAAACATCCTATGTTATTGATATGGTAAGACTTACATCCTTCAGTCCAACATAACCAGAATCGATACGAGAATTCTTTTCAAATGCTTGAAATATGTTCCAACCCCATTCTTGGTATGTTTTGTTCCCAGTGAAACGCCATAGGTACACAAGTGACTCAACAGTCTCAGGTCTCAGTATATTCCATGAAGTGCCAACACTCATGTCCTGCAATAATATATCAGAAGCATTGTAGACAGATAACATGACTTGAAAGAGAAGTTACAAACAAACAGTAATCTGACCTGTCCACCATGAAAGAAGTAGTTTTCTCCTGCTAATTTTGTTGGAGTTGATTGATAGAAATTATAGCAAGTCCA